TCACTGGGTTGTCCTCTCTGCCTCTCTTTGAACCCAGAGTTAGCCTGTATCTCTGTGGTCTGTCCCAGGCAGCATTTCCCCAAAGATGCCCAGTTACTCACAGTCTCCTTCTGTGTGCTGGATGCAGAGTAGCTTCTAGACACAAGTACAGCCAAACGGCCTCCCCTCTAGGGCAATCAGAAGCAGCCTGCTAGATACCAGTTCCAAAGACTCGCTGTCCCAGTCTGTAACTGCCACATAACAGCTCCCGAACTGGATCAAACTCCTCCACAGCAGCCTAGCTCCCTTTCTGCTCCAAAAACAGACAGATGAGTCCACAGACTGCTGAGTCTTCCTCCACACACGGGGAGAGACTTAGATCTCCCACACAAGAGTCACTTCCTTCCTGTTTTTCCCAAGGGCTCATGGAAATTGTAGTCTGTGATGCTGCATTGCAGCACACAGGGTCTTCCCAGAAAGTAAGCAGAGGCACCTTTAGTAAGGGGACTACATTTGTTAAAGAGGCATTTCTTTACTTAGTGAAATGTGATCTTTTTTGGAAGTCCAGTGGAACAAATATTCAACATGATGAACATTTTGGAGTGTACATGCTCTCACATCTGTTATTTTTCTTAATGTAAATCGGGGCGGGGAACCTAAGGCCCGGGATGCAGCCCCTAGGGTTGCCTGGATCTGGCCTCCCCCAGCAATGGGGAGCCTGTGCTAGCACTTCGGCCTTCTCCCTGCCCATAGCCCCCTATTCTGCGGGTCAGCAGCCCTCGATCGAAAAAGTTCCCCATCCCTGATGTAAATGTAAACACTTGTTCAGTTTTTCTTGATCAATTCATTCAGGCACTGCATTACTGAAACAATAATACTTCTTCACAAGGAATATATACATGTTGTTGTTGAGTAAAAAGCTGATGGTAACAACAGCACACATTTTTTTTTAAGTATGTTTTTTTAATGAGCATTTCCAAAACCTACAAACTGTTACTGCAGAAGAATCCCAGTTTTTTATTTTATTTTGGTTTATTTTCTTAATTTTACAGCATATTTTTAATAATGCAGTTCCATTGACTTGAGAGGAAAAGAGAGCTCAGAATACAGATCTATAGATTTTTTTCTTTGAGGTTAGATTTGGGAAAATGTGTTGAAGCAACTCAGGCACTTCATGGCTCCTCCTCATAAGAACTTCAAGATAATTACATTAACAGACACTGAGGAACTCTTGAGAAGTTAGGCCTGTCATTTTAAAGTAAGATCTCCATGACCTGCTGCTATAGACGTTGCTTTGAGTGGAAGCAGAAACTCAGGAACTAGAAATGACAGCTCTAAAGAGCCTCAGCATTCTAAATTAAATCGCTATTTAAAAACTGAAACTAATACTGAAGAGTCCTTTAATGGGATCTTTCATAATATATTTCTATCAATAAGTGCTCCCAAGTGCTAAAGCCTGCATTCAGAAATAGCAGAAATCTTTCAAGCCAGAGTTAAAAGAGGCTAATGGGTATAATTTTAAAATTAGAGCAAGGTATAATATGTCAGATGTTATCCTGTTGTCCAAATAATTAAGATAAGCTTGAGTTCTCCATTCCCAAAGTTGCATCAAAGTTTAGAAGGAATCATTTTGTGAACATTTGAATCTCCCATCAACAGCTTGCAATGTATCCTGAAAATATTCAAAGGAAAATCTATTTTTTTTAATCTGATTTAGGAAAGGTTGGGATAGCCCTGTTCAAATTTGGTAGAACCCTACGCAGCTGTTCTGAAAACACGTTTTCTATCCTGAGGGGGGAAAGCAAGGTTTTGGAATGTGTTGTTATTCTCACCAAGACAAAACAAGAAACCTTCTGAAGTGTTTCACAAGAAACAAGACCAAGACCCACTCCAGAATAGACTGGTGATAAGGGCACTCCATTGAAAATGAGGGAGATTTGTGCAACTGTCTGTCTGTGAGTCCATTTGTTCACTCACCACTCCTCTACTGGGGATAGTGAGCACAGGGGAGAGCTATACAGCAAAAGTGACCACTGGGGGCAGATGTGCCACCAAGGGAGTGGCCAGCTGGGGATGGGGCTTTCCCATGGACCAGATAAGTGTCTCCCCACCTCAAAGCCCTACTCCTGGGCCCCAGTGCCATGCCCTCCGCCACGGGAGCACCTCTGGAGCCAGGCTATTCAGCCACAGCCATTGTTGCACCCAATGCCGCCAGGACATCCAGTTCAGCTGCAGTTGGCTGGCCTGCATGGCATCCCGCTGCACCCAGCCCGGACCTGGGGAAAGCCAGCGGGAGGCTTGTGTAGGCCCACCCCTCCCCCCATCCCCCCGCCCACTGCCCTCCGACCCCAGGCTCTGGCCCTGGGTCGAGCACCTCCCCTACAGTCCCATCTCCCCACCCTGGTCCCAGGCAGTGCCAATGAAAGAACTGTGCAGCTTCCGCCCCCCCGCCTATTCTGACCCAAGGCTGGACCCAGGCAATGCCAGATAAGTCTTCCAGTAATTTACTGAAGTAAACAAGTTGTCTATATTCTGGTCCCATACTGTAGAAATATTTTTCATAAATGAAATGTTATCCTCAATGCTTATAAGAAACTTCATTATACATACTTTTTATCTACTGCATAGTGGATTAAGGCCTCATCTGACACAGCAAAAGAATTTAGCTCAGTGTTCCTAACAATAGTATTCCAGGGGTTTGGGAGACATTTTCTCTCCAGTTAGGATGAGAAAAAAAAATCTGTATCCTTTTTCCTTCCTGAACATATTTTGGGGGCACATACCTAAGACCAGAATAGATCATGTACTCCTTTGTAAGAGGGTTTTTGTTTTGTTTGAATAAACCTTACTCAAATATACATAAAACAGAATGAAGACTAAATATGATGTATCCTCATCTATTGTCTCATCTATGGCAGTTGCATTTTCTGTTCAACACAATAGAACAATTTGGGCACTGTGTCACTGGGCATCTCTTCAGAACTGATGAGGAGAAGGAGCTTCCAGTCTTGGCCCATAAACAGACAAATGAGGTTCAGGTCTTTATAGAAGTGCTGGAACAATTTGTGTAGTGGGGGTTTTGAAAGCCATTGAACCAAACTGTAAACCCTGTATAAAATGGAAACCACTTCAAGTCAGAGTTTACAGTTCCAGCACTTATGGGTCCAGGTCCTGGCCTTTGTTTGCCACCTTTTCCAAGATAATTTTCTTTACCTCCTTCTCACAGTACAATACAGCCGACTCAAACTCCTATGTTTCTTCCCTCTTTGTCTGAAGGAATTTAACACCATCTGGCTACCTTCCCTTTAGGTACAGAGTAAACCCTCCCTTCCCATCTTGTAGGTCACCCATCTCCATAGTAGGTTATCATACAACCCATTGTATCCGTTTTTATGTCTTTACCTTTGCAATGCCCCTGTGAGATAGGGAAGTGCTATTGTCCCCATTTTCAAGGTGGGGATTGAAGCACTGAGAAGCTAAGTATCTTGCCTAAGTCTATGAGGGTGTGTCTACACAGTAAAGTTATTTTGGAATAATAGCCGTTATTCTGAAATAATTATGCAAGCATCTACACAGCAATTCCGTTATTTCGAAATAATTTCAAAATAACAGATGGCTTATTCTGACTTCTGTAAACCTCATTCTACGAGTAATAATGCCTATTCCAAAATAGCTATTTTGAAATAAGGTATATATAGATACTCCACTTCAGCTATTTCAAAATAGCCCCTCTCCAGGGCCATTATAAGTTATTCCTCCTAGGGCTCTAAATCGAGATAGCACTTCTACATTAGAGAAGCCTGCCTCGGACTAATTTTGAGGCTTCCCTGCAGTGTAGACATGCTATTTTGGAATAAGCTATTTTGGAATAACTATTCCAGAATGGCTTATTCCGAAATAACTGTGCAGTGTAAACATAGCCTGACAGAGCAAGAAATTGAATGTGGGTCTTGTCTACTGCCTGAACTAGCCATTCATCTGGCTTCAGAGATGCTCCATTCCAGGAATCCTTTTTCTGATGGATATCTTCTAATCTCTTGTGTCAGTCTGTTCCTTCAGCCATTCTTCAGCACCAGCATGCTCCCTAGCACGTGTGGTTTGGTTTATACAACCAGGAGCAGTCTCCCACAGGACATCTGAATTCCCAGAGTTAGAATCTTCCCTTGGTATTTAGATACATAATTGTTCTTTTACATATCCAAGTGTGACTCGGAGTATCGCTATGAGGGATTT